TGGTGGGCGGCAGCATACTGAACCATTTTTGACCTACACTGTTACATGGTTCTAGAATATCAAGTAAAAGGTAACTGAGATCTTCAAAACTAGGTTGGAATAATGGTGAACATTTGTTATTGCAACACTTGGGAGTCAAATGCAAAAAGATACTGAGTTTGAGGCCAGTATGGGTTATGCAATAAGACCCCCATCTCAAAAAAACCTGCAAAACTTATTTTTTTTTTTTGTAATTTTGTCTTTTCACAGACACTTTTCTCTATTTGAAATTAAAGTTTTGGCTCCATGAGGACATGAATGTTGTCTTATTCTCTGGTGTATTCCTAGCACAGAAAACAATGCTGGTACATATTACGTGCTCATTAAATATTTCTGAAATGAACGAATGAAGAAAATACACATTAATCAACTGAAAACAAGACTGACGACTTGGATTATTGATTTCAAAGTAGAGAGTAGAAGAGTGGCCACTAGAGGTTAGGAAGGGGAAGGAGGAATGCGAGAGAGATTGGAAGCATCACCAAAATACAATTAGATAGGAGGAATAAATTCTAGTATTATATATCACCACTGGTTAACTAGAGTTTGTAACAATTTATTACATATCTTATAAAAAATATAAAAAGGCAGGAAGGTTTCCAACACAAATTATGAGGACAAGGAAATGCTAATTATCCTAATTTGATTAAACCTTGTATATATGAATCAAAGTAGCATAACAATTCTCATAGATATGTACATATGTAAAAGGGGAAAAAAGACTTGAACTCATGTCTTGTTTCCCATATATGCATAAGAAAATTCATCTAGGAACTTGCCCCAATTTTTTTTCTAGAGGATTTTGATTCAGTAAGGCTGGAAAAGAGCTTAGGAATCTATATTTTAAGGAGATACCAGTAACTCAATTTAGTGAGGCAGATCAGGAAACATGGAATTAATTTAGTGATTGAGGGTGGGCGAGAAAAGTCAAGTGAAAGTAGATGGAATCATTTGGAAAGATTAAAAACTGCTGACATACAGACGAGTGAAATTAGAATCACTGGGGTGGGCCCAGATTGGGCCTGTTGCCTACACTCACACCCTTCTCCTATCCTGCTTCATTAACCAAAGGCAGGTCTGGAAGAGACAAAGGAGAAATTCTGTGGTGGAGGTTCTGTACAATCATTTTACATTATTTGCTGTGGTGTGCTTGAAATCTTTCGCCTTTACCATCACAGCTGGCTGTGAGTAAGGCCTATTCCACACAGCTGGGGAGGAGGATTCTGTGGGAAAATGACCAGGTAGGGTGAGGTGACATGAGGCAGAAAGCTAGGAGGTAGTGACAGCACTCACTAGTGGCTGAGACCCAAGGACCCAAGGCCTAAGTTGATGGCATGCTAAAGGAAACTTTCATAGAGAAACAGCTGTGGTGGGGGAACATGAGTTCCTTCTTGGCAAGGGTAGAGAGATGGGTGGAAGAACCTATAGCAGGGGGCTATGAGAGGTTGCCCTGTACATAGAGAGAATCTCAAGCCATACCATTTGGTTTCTAAGGAAAAAGAAGGCCCATAGTTCTACAGGCTGGGGTTTTCTGGGCCTACACTATCCCATAAAAAGTTATTTACAGCACAGAGCTGGACTCTTCCAAATGTGGCTGTGGTCTCTTTTTTTGTAAATTAAGCATAACCCTACTCTCTGGTTAAGAGTCAACATATTCTTGAACCTTTTCATTTCCCTCAGTATTTGGGGGCCATTTTTAGACCAAAAATATCCAGTTTTGGATTGTTCTGTTGCATTATTTCATGACAGTTGCAGTTTAGGCAATAATGAACAGAAAATAAGAAGGCGATGCTTAGGTAACTGGCAAGGCTCACCCACCAGCTTGGCAACTTGTTTTTACCACTTCCTTGCCTCCAACTTTGAAGGACTCAAGCAAGTTCATATCTCAGCCAAACTGTCATACGTCATGGAACTTTAAGACAGCTTGTAAACAGCTAAAAACAAATGTTACCTGCGTTTCCCATCTATAAGAAGCAGAACTAGCATTATAGCTTCAAATGTTTGTATCCACTGATTCTGCCTTAGAACCCTACAAAGTAGCTAAAATGAGAGATTATGAATGTGCAGATATGTCCAAGGAAATTAGAGGTTAGCTATGAATCCTATACTTGGGATTAAATTAGGTCCATGATAAACTGATTTGGCATTGCCTCAAATTCTGCTCCCTTAAGAGACACAGAAAATATAGTTTAAGAAGAAACCACATTCCTTGTCTTTTAAATGTTTAAGATATGTTTCTCAGAACAAATATGGGATGAGAGGGAGAAGAATCTGAGAAACAGGCGTGGAGGTTAAATGCTATTAGCCTTCAACAGAACCCAAATCCCTTGAAATACAGTCTCTAAGGGCATATACATACAGTAAAAACAATGGGATAGGGCTGAAAATGTGGCTTAGTGGTAGAGTGCTTGCCCAGCATGCAGTAAGCCCTGGGTTTGATTCCTCAGTACCACATAAGCAGAAAAAGCCGGAAGTGGTGCTGTGGCTTAAGTGGTAGAATGCTATCTTTGAGCAAAAGAAGCTCAGGGACAGTGCCCAGGCCCTGAGTTCAAGCCCCAGGACTGGCAAAAAATAAAGGGGTAGTTCCATTTACAAATTGAATTTCAGAAGTCTGTAAATAGAAAAACAGCAACATGTTTGTATTAGAACTCAATTGTTGGACAGTTAAATCCCATTTCTTTACTAAAGAATACCTGTCTGGCGCTGGTTGCCCAATACCATGAGCATACTAAGCCCATTAGAACAGGTAAACTAAAGGAGCCACAGTATCATCATCTCAGAATGTTTCAACACTGTTCTAGTCATTTCCATATATTTGGTGGCAAGCAATCTTTGGGTGAGAAAAATAATACATAGTGCCTATGATAAACTTAAAATCCAATCACCAGATTTGATCTCCAATTCTACCACTTGGTAGCTATGTGACTTTGAAGCAAGTTATTTATCCTACACTTCAGTTTCCTCATCAATAAAATGAGAATAATATTTCCTACCTCATAGGGCATGGTTAGGATTATTTGAGTTAGCACGTCAAAGTGCTTACAACAATGCCTGGAATACACCGAGTGCTCAAAAATATTAACTTTTGGCTGGAAATGGTAGTATGTGCCTGTAATCCCAGCTACTCAAGAGATAGAGGTAGGATGATCATGATCTGAGGCCAACTATGGCAAAAGTATGAGATGCTATCAGAAGACAAACTGAAAGCAAAAGGGTTGGGTTTGTGGCTCAAGTGGTAGAACCTAGCAAGTCCTATATTCCATATATATATATATATATATATATATGTACATATATATATATATATATATATTAGTTCTTATACTTACCTCTCCCCTTCATATCTATCTGTCTGTCTGTCTTATTTATCTATTTCTTTTTCCTTGTTTGTCTTCTAACTGAAAGAGTTGTAAATTTGTACCGTGACTATACTCCTCCTATACCTGTACTTCTCAAAGCCATTTCAAGGTACTATCACTTCTCTGGCTAGTGACAGATTAAAAAATGGCAGGAGATTCAATTCTGGCTTCTTGTGGGTTACAGGTGTTTAGCAAAGTTTTTTTTTTTTTCAAGAAGTACATTGGAAGAAAAATATCTATCTTCTTCTACTAGAAGTGTTTCTACATGTGCACTTACCTGTAATAGCAGAGTCATCTTTATTATGATGGAAGCTGGAAGAAAGAAACAATAATGATATTATTTAGTTGAAGCATTAACTAGTTCCTTCCTCTGGATTTTTAAATAAAGATCCCTTATTGCTTAATCCATTTTCATGAGGATTTTCTGTTATTTTACCTCAAAGTGTCCTAACTGACCAGTATCACTTAAGAATCAATGTTCACAATATTTTATAGAAACTATAAAGTGCAACATCATGAACTTAATTTCAAGCTTTCCAGATGTTTATGGGAGAAAAACCATGAAAGCTAATAATAGCAGGCAATTAATGTTAGGTGACTGGATTGGAGTGGCTTGAATAAGCAATAGAGGAGTTCATATACAAGGATGGCCTCAAAGAATAATGAAAAGATAGGCAGAGAGAAAAGGAATGTTAAAAGCTGGAAAAACAGCATAAACAAGGAGGGAGGAATTTGGAATTGTTATTAGTTTTCTAGGGCCGTGATAACAAAAACAAGACTGGGTATTACAACTACTGGTGACTTCGTACAATAAGTGTATCTCTTACTTCTGGGGGCATAAAGTCTAAGGTCAAATTTCAGGTCATGGTGACTCTGTTCTGTGGCCACATCCCTTGGCTTGTTAGGTGGCTGCCTTTTTGCTGTATCTATTCATCTCTGTACTTGTGTCCAAGTTTCCTATTATAAGGACACTGGCTGGATCAGGAACTACCTTTCTGGCTTTGTTTTAACTTAATAAACTCTGCTAGGGCCCTATATTCAAATATAGTTATAGTCTGAGGTATGGAAGGCTGGAAATTGAACACACAAATTTTGGGAGATATTTCAGCTCCTAAGATGGAAAAAAAAAGAAGTGTAAAGGTTAGGATCATCAAGATGAAGTTAAATGATTATATTAGGACGGTAGCAAGAAACCTGAATGCTGGGCCTAGATCTTACTCTTACAGCAGCAGGAAAGCAATGTACTTAAGAACAAATTGGCAGAAGTGTGTCACATATATACTAAAGAGAATGAACTTCTGTAAAAGAATGTGCTAGGACTGGCGTTGCACATAGTCTACAAAGGCATAGGTAAGTATAAATGTATCAAATAGAAGATTGGTTTACTGTGGCTTATTAAGACAGTCCCGTCTATGGCTAAGGGTCAGAAGTTTAAAGATTTCATCAGAACCTACAATAGGTAAAACCTTTCGCAAATATCTTGAATTGCTTAGGCTTCCTACTGGGAAGAACAAGGGCAAGGTAGCTTTTTTCCAACTGATTGTTGGACAAGAAGTTATTTTAAAGTCTGTATTAGTAAAAAGAAAGCAAGACAGCCAACACGGTTTAATCCATAATGCCTTTATTTCAATGTCAAAAATCATATTTTTATGACAGTAAACAGAAATTTTCAATAATTAACACATAAACTATATGCTAACATAGACCCACCAAACTAAGAAAAGAACATGAACATATGAACAAAAGCCTAATGATTAAGAAAACAAGCCTTTAGAATGTTAGTTCCTCACACTCCATATAGAACTTCCAATGCTGAGCCATCACATGACATGGGAGAAATTCTTGATCGCTGATTGAAAGTATTTCTTTTATTTGTAGATAATGAGGGATGTTTTGTACTGACTCTCTGGAAGTGCCTGTTTAAAGATTTATAAAGAGATTAAAAACTACCTGTTTAAAGTAAGACTTAAAGTTAGTTTTTACAAATCTTAGAATTGTGTGTATATGAGAGGACACAATATGTTTTCTGAACAGGATATTTTCACTTCTTCCATTTTTTTGTACCCATGACAAAGCTATAAAGCAGCAGCACTAACTTTGAGAGAGAGAGGTCTGTTTTCAGGCTAAAGTAACAGTAGGAAATGAAAACTTTTGAAAGTAGTTGAACAAGCCACTTGGTACCTCAATTCGCAATTGTGAAGACTATGAGATTTTGCATGTGTAATAGTTTACCAATTGCCCTGCACATAGCAAATACTCATAAATATAAGCTGTTATTAGTGTTATTATCATTATTACTTAAAAGTTATCCTATATAATTTAGGGATGGGGAACATTTTTGTGGAATATTTCAAATATTTAGATTTATTTAATAAAATTGATCTTCGTTTTATCACTTAAAATATTATCATTTATATTAGACTTTTTCTCCACAAGATAATGTCTTGTAGTTACAATTTGAAAACTCAATACATCCACTATCATTACTCCTATAATTTCTTTATGTAAGTGTGTGCAAATACTTTTACAGAATTGCTATTCAGAAGCAAAATGACTAAGTTGAAGGGTATGCACACATTTTAAAGTACAGCATGCCCTTTCAAAGGCATGCTTTCATACTACCATCAAGTAAAGCTCCATCACAGCAAAGGACACAGCTAGCAAGATCAACAGAAAGCCCACGGATTGGGAGAAGACCTTCACTAGCCATATAACAGACAAGGGTCTCATATCTAAACTATACTTAGAACTAAAAAAATTAAATCCCCCAACAACAAATCCTCAAAGAAACAACCACCCTATTAATAAGTGGGCTAAAGACTTAAAAGAGAGACTTCACTAAAGAGGAAATAAGAATGGCCAATAGACACATGAAGAAATGCTCAACCTCTTTATCCATAAAAGAAATGCAACTCAGGAGGAGTTAAGGGAAGATGGCGACGGGGCAGTAGGGAAACGCCACAGCTCTCTCCAACCAAAAAGAGAGTTCGAGTTCCAACCTTTAATCTCCCCAAGAGACCGACAACAACAAAAAGACGAACACTCAGAGAAAAACCAGAGGTGGAAAATAACAAAAAAAGAAAGAGAGGAAAAGAAGAATTTCAGAACAGAGAAGAGCGAAGACCCCTCCCCCAACCTTTACTGGCCGCGCGGCAGTGCGCCAAGCCGCCGGCCAGCCGGCCCGGCAGGGGCTGCCGGAGCCACAGAGACACAGGGGGCTGCTTGCAGATCACCAGGTACCGGATTGCAGAACAGCGGATCGCCAGGAACAGAGAAACCTACCAGCCGGGAGTCTCCAGGAGGATCCCACCCCACCCATCACTCTCCACCGGAGCGGAGAGGCTCCATCCCGCCAAAGCCGCCCGGCACCAGCAGCGCCACAAAGGGACCTGTCGCGATCGCAACGACCCGGCGGGGGGCCGCCCAACCCAGCCCGCAACCACCCCAACTGAACTCGGACTGCAACAACAACTGACGGACTGCAACAACAACTGACGACCTACAGGGTGAGTACCCATCAGGGGACAGGGAATCCATCAAGGGAGACCAGAGCTGGAGGGAATCCCCAGACCCTGACCTAGACTCCCTACCCCAACACCCGGACCACAGGACCCACTAAAACTGGGAACTGTTCGAGAGCCCCACCAGCCGGTGGAGCACACTCTGCTGGCCAGGCCAGAGCAAGAGCGCCCCGGGAAGGGAGCTTAAATGCTCAAGCCAGGAACAGTGCCCCTGGGTCAAGACTACCAACAGTAGAAGAAATTTGATCTGTGTCCTCCAGGCTGCATAACCAAGGTGGTATACACATTAGCACAGGCCTAACGAGCGCGCTCCAGGCCGGGGCCGGAACCAGGCCAGGGGACCTGCGCCTGAACAAAGCAAAAAGGGTCAGAAGTGGGGCTGTGGCTCAAATGGTAGGGTGCCAGCCCTGAGCTGAAGAGCTGAGGGACAGCACCCAAACCTAGAGTTCAAGCCCACAACCAGCCCAAAACAAACAAAAACACATCAGGAGCCCATAGCAGACTCCAGTATTTGGGAGAGTGCATCCAGAGCATCTGATCTTCCCAAGAGCACCCGCAGGAGCAAACACAAGCAGTCTAGGCTGCTCAACCCTTCCAAAGGCGGGAATTGCTACAGCAGAGAGCTGAGAATCCTAAGTGAATAGCAGCTGGAAATAGGCTCCCAACAGAATCCAGATCAGACACAGACTCTCTCTACCAATAGAGAATCAGCAACCAAGCAAAGACAGACACACCAAAACAAGATTGAAGAGCAGTCTCCTGAACCCCCATGCGAAAATCACAGAGAAAAATCACAAGGTTTACCACTACCCAGGACAGCAAGCTCACCCCAAAAGCCAGCAGCCACGCAGGGGAGAGCCCCAGTGGGAGCAAAGCAGGAATGGAAGACAAAAACTACATCCAAGGGTTGCTGGAGGCAATGACTCAAGAAATAAAGCGAGAAATGGATCAGAAATTGAAAGAGCACAAGGATGAACTATCAAAAGATATACAGGATATCAAACAAAAATTGGATGCAAAAATAGAAGCTGCACAAACCTCAGTAAGAAGTGAGATAAACGCCAAATTAGAGGTAATGCATACTGATATCACCTCATTGAGAGGTGAGATCAGTACTCTGAGAACCAACATTGAATCCATAAAGGGATCCATTTCCATCATGCAAACCACAATAGAAGCCACGGTCAACAGAGTGAATGAAATGGAAGGTAGAGTGTCAGATACAGAAGACAGAATACACCAACTGGACCAAAAAGTGACAGATATGGAAAAATCACTCAAATTAAACCAAAGGGAAATTCAAGAGCAAGCAGATAATGCTAAAAAATTTAACCTTCGCATAATCGGAGTGGACGAAGGTGAGGAATTCCAGAGCAAGGGAATGCAACACCTATTTAACAAGATAGTCAATGAAAATTTTCCCCACCTCAAAAACGACCATCTTAACTACATCACAAAAGCTTATCGAACACCCAACAAGCAAGATCCCAGGAGAAACACTTCTAGGCACATAATAGTAACAATGATGGATCTGAATAATAAGGAAACAATCCTGCATGCAGCAAAAATGAAGAAGGAGCTATACTACAACGGGAAAAAAATTAGAATCACTGCAGATCTCTCCACACAAACAATGAATGCAAGAAAAGCCTGGGAAAGCACCATACGAGCCCTGAGAGCCAATAACTGCCAACCCAGACTGATATACCCGGCAAAGCTAGCATTCACATTCGATGGAGAACTGAAAACTTTTAATAGCAAAGAAAAACTAAATGAATACATAAACATTAAGCCAGCATTACAAAGAATTCTAAGAGGGGGGACACAACCTGAAGAAAGCAACCAGGAACTGGGACCTGCCCCAAACAGGCATTACTCAAAGTCTAACTGAGCAAGCACAGGAGGAAAGGAAAGAAGAAAAACTTAGGAAAACGGAATGGCAGGGACAACAATGCATCTCTCTATACTTTCTCTTAATATAAATGGGCTGAATTCGCCAATTAAAAGAAAACGAACTGAGGACTGGATCAGAAAACAAGACCCATCCATCTGTTGCCTTCAGGAGACCCACCTCTCAGCCAAACATACAAACAAACTCAGAGTGAAGGGGTGGAAAAGGATCTACCAATCAAATTCCCCCAATAAGAAAGCAGGTGTAGCTATCCTGATATCTGACAAAATAAACTTTTCATTAAAATCAGTACAGAAAGACAAGGACGGACATTACATATTAATAAAGGGAACAATCCAAGAGGAGGATATAACCATCATCAACTTATATGCCCCAAATATCGGTGCACCCAGATATGTTAAACAAATGCTCTCAAACTTACAGAATAAAATAGATCCCAATACGATAATACTAGGAGACTTTAACACGCCACTCTCACCAAAGGACAGGTCTACCAACCAGAGGATTGGCAAAGAAGCTACCGAATTAAGTGAGGCCATACTTCAAGCGGAATTAACTGACATCTACCGAGTATTTCACCCTAAAACAACACAGTACACATTCTTCTCAGCAGCTCATGGAACTTTCTCCAAAATAGACCATATCATAGTTCATGCAAGGAACTTAAGCAAATACAAAGGGATCGACATAATCCCCTGTATCCTATCTGACCACAGTGGAATCAAGCTAGCTCTCAATAACAAAGCATACCACAGAAATTTCTCTAATACATGGAAATTGAACAGCACACTCCTTAACAAGGCCTGGGTAACAGAAGAGATCAGAGAAGAAATAAAGCATTTCCTACAACTCAATGAAAATGAAAACACCTCACAAAGAAACTTGTGGGACACAGCAAAAGCAGTCCTGAGGGGCAAATTTATTGCCCTCAGTGCCCACATCAAGAGAATGGAGACAGACCAAGTAAATAATCTCATGTTGCAACTAAAACAGCTAGAAAAACAAGAAAAAATGGGACCTAAAGCTACTAGACGAAGCCAGATAACCAAATTGAGAGCAGAGATTAACCAATTAGAAAATCAGAAAACCATAACCAAAATAAACCAAACAAAAAGCTGGTTCTTTGAAAAAATAAACAAAATTGATGGCCCGTTGGCAAGATTAATTAAAAAAAGAAGAGAGGAAACCCATATTAATAGGATTAGGGATGCCACGGGAAACATCACAACACGTACCCAAGATATCCAAACAATTCTAACAGACTACTTTCAAAAGCTATACTCTCTAAAGGAAGAAAATCTGGCGGAAATGGATGCATTTTTAGAGAAATACAAGTTACCCAAACTGAGCAAAGAAGAAGTTAACCAATTAAATAAGCCAATATCCTATAATGAGATACAGGAAGCTATCAAAAGTCTTCCAACAAAAAAAAGCCCAGGACCAGATGGATTCACAGCAGAATTCTATAAGACCTTTAAAGAAG